CTGTCCAATACAGAGCATAACCTCCATATGCTAGGCCTCTCTGTCCTCTATTACTATCAAGCCATCTTTGTCTGCTTGCTTGACAATTATATCAGGATTAACTGATAGCGCCTGCAAGGCCTATTTTTCTTTCAGAGACATATTGTGTGCATATTCTGCTTACCCCAGAGTAGATGTTCTATTTTGGTTCTAGATATGTAAGAGAAGGTTTTTACTACACTGTTGGGGACTATAGGGAAGAATATGCTCTTGTTTTATACCAACCTCAATTTTGACCTTGTAGCTGGTTGCTGCTGCCCTTATACCCACTGCTGGATCATTGCCTTGTAGGGTCAATAAAAGATAACTATTTAAAAGTATAAAAAGTGTAAGAAATAGTCAGACACCTTTCTTGAATGAGAGTGAATGCCAAATAGAGTGTTGCTTTTACTTAAACACCGTTACAAATACAGACACAATCACAGGCAGTAAAAAAAAAACAAGGGCCAAACTTGCCTATAAGTGGTTCTCCTTAGAAGTGTTGCCTATATGGGATTAATCACTATATACGCATTGAACTCAGAGACACGAAGTTTACTGGTTGAGAAGGAGTAAACTACTTTATACTGTAGCTCCCAAGAGATCAATCCAAGAAGAGGTTAACTCTGTAATATATACTAAGGACCAGTGGATGCCCAACCCTCTGGTCCTAAAATGATTAACATTGTCTTCTGAAGTGCCTAGGTGTCCAAATCCCTAGGTATATATATATATATACCTATATATACCTCTACATGCTCTCCCACAAATATGTTATACTTACCTGTTGTAATATTGATCCCTGAGGTACTGCATCAAAGGAGGAGCCCAGCCAGCCGTCCTGGAGCTTGGAGTACTGCTCCACATGGGACTTTAAAAAGCCTACCAGAAGGTGGCAGAGCTTATAACGAAGAGGTGGAGCCTAGCACAGGGGCGCAGAGCCCAGTGCTACAATGCACTTCTATCTACAGAGCTGCCACCCAGGAGTAGTGGGAGTTTGAGCACAGAACTTATTTTTGTGTATTTGTATTTACTTTTTGTATCACACAGCCATGTTACAGTGCTGCCGTCCATCCCATGTGCTCTCTTTTAAGGGTTAATAAGTATGTAGGGGTTTATATAAAATACCCCTCTCTGTCCCATTAGTGATTTTCTTTTGCCTTAAGCTGAAGCAAGCAAGGTGAATTGTTAGTGTAGCTTCGAACTAAGAGGTTTGCCTTGACTTGGCAGGTGTGCTTCCATTTAATGGTCGTTAGAGTGAAAGTAAAAACCTCCATTTACCTAAATATGCACAGGGATTTGGAATAGTGCGCAAGTAACTTTTTTTCTTTGGTTCTATCTACAGAGTGCCTGGGCGCTGTGCACCAAGTGCACCCACCTAGGATCGTCTCTATACATACCCATCAGTGCAGATTGTACCGCTGTATTCTGCTTTACCTAGTGCTGGTGTTTTGCTCTACTAAATAAATGTGAGTGCTAGCCCAATATCTCTGTTGTGTGCCATCAACAAACCACTAGACTAGCACTATTATTGGTTATTTCATATATCTACAAGCAGTTTGAATTCCAGATGGTTACCAATTAAGAATATCTGAAGCATATATTGGACTCTTTAGACTCAGTATTTGACGCAACCTGTATTGTGTTTCTCTTCTACATAAGGGGTTGAGGGTATTCCTTATAGTAAGTGTTTTAGCCTGCACTTTCATATTCTAAGTTGACAATTCTAGCTCTTATCCTATTTTTGTGTATTAACTGAAATAGCTCAATGACTACTCTCTTTACTGAAAGCTGTTACTTGTGGTCTGATACTTTTCTTGCTTTGGTTCTTTTTCACAGGGGACCGGAAAAATTGCAAAGAAGAATATTGACCAATGTTTGTTTATCTAATTTCATTAAAATTTATAAGACAATTGTCTCTTTAAACTTTATCTTGCAAATCATAGAAATAGTGAGGGAGAGATGGACAGATGGGTGTCAGGCAAACAGACAGACACACAGATGAGAATTAATTAATGAATCTATTTTTTTCACAACTATTCAGAAGTGAAATTAGAGTATTTTTTGGCAGTGAAACAATGTAATGACATTAAGGATTTAATAGCATATGCTGCATTTACTGTTTGGTGTAGAAACTGTTTATACGCCTACTACATGCAAAATATATTTCTGTGGGAAAGAAAAAGTAAAACAAATTATTTATTTATATTATTTTTTATCATGACTTCTTTTTTTAACTTAATGTGCAGGGATATTAACAAGTCAACTGATTTTATTGTTCCCTGGAATATTTAATTGACATGTTTATGAGAAAGAGACTTCACTAAATGTTATAAAGTCCTATTCTGAAAAATTGGAAAGCATCTAGATTAGAAGGTATATTTTTATTTTAGTTTTCTATTCTCCAGCAAATGATGAGAAGATCTGACAGGGAAACCAGCAACAAGACATTTAGAGACTATACTGGATTACAACTGGCACCCTGGAGCTATTCAATTATCTTGTTCATTCTGACATCTATTCAAGTCTACAGGAAGATCTAAATCAATTTTTATATTCAGAATACAATTTAAGAACATTTTAAGTATAATGCGACGCACATCTCTTTGTCTTATAAACAATGTGCTTTCTTGGCTGTAAAATAGGATTTGTCTGCAGACAATTTAATCCAGCAAGATTGACCTCTGCCTGAATGCTTTATGAAAGTGAACCTCAAATTGAGTGTTTTCTCAGAAATGACTTGGCATCCAATGCACTTTTTTTCGTCTTGAAGCCAACTTGTATATATCTGCTAGAAAAGATGACATTCGTTTATTACATTTTTATTTTGCCATCGGCAGGATATTTTACCTGCTGCCGAAATGTAGAAAGAAGACATGATGGTTTATGAGAATATGCTTGCTATTTGAACATTCTATCTTTTTGCACATGTTTTAGTCATTTGAACTACATCCAAATATGAAATCCAACTAGTCAGTCGGTCTCTGCAGACACAAAGAATTAACGGTGAGTCAGCAGGATATTGTGGGTGTTTATAACATCATTTCAGCAGTATATTAGAGATCAGCTCTATGAGCTCACTTTCATTATTAAAAGGTAAATATCACTGACTATGTCATCTTTGCAAGCATCCATTTTGTCATTAAACATTAGCTTCTATTTTCATATTTCAAGACATACACTGTGCCTCCATTTTCTTTTGCCGTTTTGTTGTGATTTTAAAGTTAAGCTTATTCTGAAAACATTGAGTATAGTAGAATCTAAAAACCAAAGTGTTCTGTGCAAAAAAGGTGAGATAATATTTTAAGTAGCAGCTACCACACAATGTGAGTCTCACCCTGACCACACACAAGTTAAATAAGCAAATAAAACAAGTGAACTGAGTGGTCAACAACTATCACTAGTGCAGTTAGTGGAGCGCTTACAAAGTGTAATGGAATTATAATGATAAGTATCTTGACCCCAGGCTCATGCTACTAAGATGACCGGATGTCCAGTCTGTTTTTACTTTCATGTTATGCTTTTTAACTTTGAGTCTATTTCGACTGTCTGCTAAATAAGCACAAGAAGGCATAAAATCATGACTTGTGACATTCTGTGGTTTCTGAGGAGACGAGTGCAGCTTCCACCTTAACCCCCCTTCTGATGTCCTAATGTTTTTATATATTTAACCATTGAAATATGCTTAGTTCTGTAATTTCCTTTTATGGGACAGTGTGACTTCACCCATCCAGTTTTTGGCGCACAAGTCACAAAGCTGTCTTTACAAAGTAGTATATAATCTGTAAGCTTACACAATAAAATAGGAAAGTAATCTTTGAATCAAAAACTGTCTGGTCTGATTACTTTCTCCTAGCAGCTCGTAATAAAAGTGTCAATTTGGTTTCCACCTGAACATATCGCCCGGGTAAATTAATATCTGTTTCAAAAGTAACTTACCCTTACAGCATAAGGGATACTAGTACCACCATTGCTGTAAAAGAAACAATATATAGTGTAGTATTTTAGATTTTCAAGTACATTTATTGTAATATGTGTCTCACACTCACATGGATCAGAGCCAAATAAGGATAGGCTCAAGTCTCAGAGGTGGATGTCTTCTAGGGCAGTGTTCCCCAACTCAGTCCTCATGGACCACCAACAGGCCAGGATTTATGTATTTCCCTGTTTTATTCCAATGGAGATACTGACAAAACCTGGACTGTTGGTGGTCCATGAGGACTGGGTTGGGGAACACTGTTCTAAGGGACACAGACCCTCTTCTGTCTTTCTCCACAGTACTCAGGAGGAAAAAAAAAAAAAGAGCAAATATCTTCTGGTGAAGTACAACTAGAAATAGGTGGATAATATTAATAAAGAGACCTTGCTTACCTTTTCCAGAGCCAAAAGAACCTGGCTGTGGGAAATACAGCTTTGGGGTCACTGAAGGAGATACCTTCTTGTCACAGAGAATTACAAACACACAGAAAATTAACGGTGAGTCAGCAGGATATTGTGGGTGTTTCTAACATAATTTCAGCAGTATATTAGAGATCAGCTCTATGAGATCACTTTCATTATAAAAATGTACATCTCACTGATTATGTCATCTTCATTATTCTTCATTCTTCATTATGTCATATCATTCAGGAATTGTATAACCATTTTCTCCAAAACCTAGTGGTAGTTCATTTTTCTACTTCTTTACACTGACTTTTTTTTGTTCTGACTTCCAGAAGAATCATTAAAATAGTAATAAGTAAGGCAGTCCAGCAATAAGTATAGATTAGTTAGGGTTAGAATCATGGCATTTAGTATTTGTGTTACCACTTTTTCTGTGATCTAACCCCATTGCTTAAACTTACCTGTAGTGATACATAGATGGTGCCTTGTGTGGTATATGTGTATATATATATATGTATGAATATATATATATATATATATATATATATATACATATACGGTGTATATGATTTATATACGGTGATGATTTATGTATGGTGTATATAAATCATTACCAGGTAGATGGGGCCTTGTGTGGTATATATATACACATATACCACACAAGGCACCATCTACCTGGTAATGATTTATATACACCATATGTGTGTATGTGGCTGTATGTATCCATGTAAGTGTGTCTGTATATCTGTGTGTGTCTGTATGTGTCTGTGTATCTATGTGTGTGCATATCTGTGTATCTGTGTGTCTGTGTATCTGAATGTTGGTCATTATGTATGACTTTGTGCCTGTGTATTTATATGTGTGTCTCTGTGCATATGTTTGTCTGTGTGTACTGTGTGTCTGTATATGTGCATGTTTGTGCATCTGTGTGATTTTGTATCTGCATGTGTGTCAGTGTGTATGTGTCTGTAAATCTGTATGTGTTAGTATGTATTTGATTTTTTTTCCCTATAGTGTAGTCTTATATACAGGCCTTTTCTTTTTTATTTTCAACAATATACAAAATCTTAGTCCAAAAGATGCTAATTATTATGGGGTAGATTTGTTTACACTACAATATTACTGAAATAAAAATATAAAAAGGTGCATTGTGTTTGTTATGTGCAGTTTAAGATTTATAAGTTAATTTCAGTCTGTAGATAAAATCCTCTGAATCTTTAATGCTGCAAATATAGTCTAGGTTTGCTGACATTTATTGTCTTCATCAATTTAACTATGTAAAAGACCATAAAATTTCCACTTAAGCATAAACCTGTTCATATGCCATTAAGGAAAATAAATGTGATGATAACTCATTTAATTGGGGATGTAATAATATGTTTGGAACAATAAAATATTTGCTAATAAAGTAGATTAAATTCACACAAATTACGTCACATGACTGTATGTGAATTCTTGTTTATGTTCCAGCAGTGAAAATTATGAAAAACTGTCTGGCAAAGAGACAGCTGTCTCCTAGCAACCAAGACAGTTAACAAAAAGAAAGATGGCAGCTCTCTCCAGTTTTGGATTCCCAAAGGAAGCATGCCTCTACAAAAAAAATGACTCCACCTGCCAATCAAACTATGAAAGGTGAAGTTAGCTTTAACCTTTGCATTTTAATCCCAGCTTTAACGTGCATTATATGTTTAACATAAAATAAAATTGTGTATGGTTGAAATGTGTAAATGCTTTATATCAGCGGTTTCCAAACTGTGTGCCGCAGAATGTTGTCCTGGTCCTATGATTATAGCACCGGTGAAACATTATTGCTCAACAGGCACCAGGTCAAGTGCCCCAGTCCTTTAAGATCGCGACCGGGCCCCTGTGATGTAGGCTGGCTGGGTCAACATTACTCGTATCAGGTAGACAGAGTGGGCGGGTGAGGAGGCAGCTGTAGTGTGAGGGGAGAGGAACATGAAGAGCTCCATATACTGTATGTGTATGAGTGTGTGTGTATGTGTATGAGTGTATATGTGTATGAGTGTGCGTATGAGTGTGTGTCAGGGTGGGTGTTTTTATGTTAGTGTGTGTATATGTGTCATGGTGTGGGCATGTATTAATGTTTGTGTGTATATGTCTGTGTGTATCTATGTGTGTGTATGTGTTGGTGTCTATCTAAATGTGTGTATGTGTTGGTTTCTATATGAATTTGTGTGTATGTGCCGGTGTATTTAAATGCATCTGTGTGTTAATGTGTATCTGTGTATGTATGTATCTATGTGGTAGATACATCCAAGCAGTCAAACACCAGCACAACTTACAAGCACACTCTTGAAATCTAACATAAATATTACATACAAACACACCCCTGCATTCAAACACAAATACTTCACACAAATGTACATCCACATTTAAAACTGAATATTACATTCAGACAAACTCCTGGAATCAAACACAAACATTACATACAAACACACCCCTGTATTAAAACACTATAAATGTATACAAGCACCCCTTCAAACACCAACACTGTACATTACACTATAGCGCCAATAAATGCAACAGCGCTTTGAATGCACCCTTTTTCTAATTTGGTATATATTTTAATGTGGGATTGCACCAAGGCACTGTATTTGGAAATTATGGACTAAGGGGTGAGTGCCAAGATAGTGCTGCTTATATATTTAATGTTGGGCCTATAGATATACAACCATGGGCGTCTGCACTTGCCCCTCCCCCTGGATTTTTTAGCTTGTGCCAGTATTTTTCTTATGAGATTGAGAATACACTGCAATACCGGCTCCGGCCATTAGGTGGAGCTGTGTGTGGAGAGAGGCAGGGATAGGAAGCTACATCTTATCCCTGCTTCTCTTTCCTGACTGTATCCGTGGGGGAGCAGCCAGCAACTCCCAGACTGCAGAGACAGCGTACAGATCAGGTAAGTGAGGGATAGGGGTGCAGCCTACTGGAAGGGTCAGCAATGAGCAGGAAGGTAAAGTCGGAGAAGCAGAAAGGAGAAAGAACAGAAATAAGCAGGAAGGGACATCAAGGAGCAGAAAAGGTCAGCAATGAGCTGGAAGGGGTAGAAGGAGCACAAAGGTAATGTTGGAGATGGAGCAGAAAGGAACAAAAATGAGCAGGAAGGGTCAGCAAGGTGCAGAAAAGGGAAGCAAGGAGCAGTTAGGGGCAGCAAGAAGCAGAAAGAGTCTGCAAGAAGCATAAAGGAGCAGGAAGGGCCAGCAAGGAGCAAGAAGAGGCAGCTAGGAGCAAGAAGAGGCAGCAAGAAGCAGGAAGGGACAGAAGGAGCAGGAATGGTCAGCAAGGAGCAGGAAGGTCTGAAAGAAGCAGGAAGGGACAGAAGGACCATAAAGGGTCAGCAAGGAAGGGGTAGAAGGAGCACAAAGGTAATGTAGGAGAAGGAGCAGAAAGGAACAAAAATGAGCAGGAAGGGTCAGCAAGGTGCAGAAAGGGGAAGCAAGGAGCAGGTAGCGGCAGAAAAGAGCAGAAAGAGTCTGCAAGAAGCATAAAGGGTCTGCAAGGAGCAGGAAGGGGCAGCAAGGAGCAAGAAGAGGCAGCAAGGAAGCAGGAAGGGACAGAAGGAGCAGTAATGGTCAGCAAGGAGCAGGAAGGGTCAGCAAGGAGCAGGAAGGGTCTGCAAGAAGCAGGAAGGGACAGAAGGACCAGAAAGGGTCAGCAAGGAGCAGGAAGGAACAGAAGGAGCAGGAAGGGGCAGTAAGGAGTAGGAAGGGACAGCAAGGAGCACAATGGTAAGGAGGAGAAGGAGCAGAAGGGGACAGCAAGGAGCAGTAAGGGACAGCAAGGAGCAGAAAAGGGCAGCAAGTAGCAGGAAGAGACAGAAGGAGCACAAAGGTAAAGTAGGAGAAGGAGCAGAAAGGAACCAGAAGGTCTACAAGGAGTTGCGAGGATCAGAAAGGGTCACCAAGTTGCAGAAAGTGTCAGCAAGAAGCAGGAAGGGGCAGCAAGAAGCAGGAAGGGGCAGAAAGGGGCAGCAAGGAGCAGGAAGGGACAGAAAGAGCTGGGAGGGGCAGAATGAGGGTATAGGTGAAATAGGAGAAGGAGCAGAAAGGAATAGAAATGAGCAGGAAAGGTCTGCAAGAAGCAGAACGAGTCAGCAAGGAGCTCAAGGGTAAAGGAGCAGAACAAGGGCATACCTAGAGCATTTGGCACCCAGGGCGGATCCTGTGCTTGGCACACGTGTTTACGTGTCTCATTGCAAAATTATCAGTCCTAAGAAAGTTCACACAACAGGACACTTGAAGGAAAGTAATGGGTGCCTGCCATCAGATTGAAGAGAGGCCTGCCAATATAATCAAGAGGGGTACTATTCTTTTTTTTTATTTAAGACAATGGAATTTATCAATCATCCAGTCCCTGGGAGGGAATAGAGCTAGTCCTCTATCCTGCTCCAGGAAGGAGAGGCTCCTTGAGGACCCCAGTTAAGCCATGAAGACTGGGGCAGAAACGCTGAGGTTTTCCCCTGTTCCAGCTAGGAAGCGTTCCTTGGAGGAGGTACACAGCTGGGGTACTGGGATATGCCTAGGGCAGCACAAAACCAGGATACACCACCGGACTTCCTCCATTACTATATTTCATAAGGTATGTCAGTCTCAATCTGATCATACCTCCCTATTCCTTAACACATTAAAAAATTAGATAGATTAATAGTGGCTTATAGGTCTAGGAGTCCACTAGTAGATAATTGTTTCTAGGCCTTTATGCCTTAGTATTGTGGTCCCGCGAGGCCCGCACCCATCTTCAACTTGGAGGTACATTCGCCCCTCGGGCCAACTCAGAGTTAGTCAACTCACATGGTTGCATAGAGAGGGCCTCACCTGTCACTCCTATTTTATCGACACCTCGCCACAACGTTGAGTGGCTATGAAACCCCTTTGTGCCAACTCATAGATAGAGCCTCTCAAGCCACTTGGCAATTAACAGGGCCTCACCTGTCACAAAATCTAGGTAACTTTTTGTCACTTGGCATTAGCTAGCCAGACAGTATAGGGAAAGTTCCCCACATAACCTACTATGAGTTAAAAATTTTAGTATGTCGCAACTACCAGAAGGCAGGGAGGAATTAGCTTTCCCTAGCACTCCAGCTAGATCTGTAACTCCTTCTCAAAGAGGAGACAACGCAAGTCCATCATCTCTCAGATCTTGGACCATTCCAAGAATCACAGCGGAGTTACGCAGAAGGAACATCCCTTACCCTGCTACCGCCAGAAAAGCGGAGCTATACAGACTGCTTAACACCCATACCGATAACACCGGGGTAGGAGAGGGATCCAGTAGTGGCCAGTCTTCCAATGTGCAGGCAGTATTGTCATCAGTTCTGTCCTTATTGGCACGGATCAATGACAGGTTGGAGTCAGGAAGCCAACCGAGTTCACCGTTGGCTCTAGAGATTCTGCAAATCTCCCCAGCACCCAATCTGGTAATACCCCATGTTGCCCTTAGAATATGAATATTATCAACCCAACACATATGGTGCCAGCAAACATTAAAAAGGATATCTTGGAGGGCAAATATGTGAATTTGGTCTTGCTCCTGATTGCCTCCCAAGATATCCTAGAGAATAAGATGTATCCATATGGAGATGTGTCTGTGGTATTGAAAGTCAGAGAACCTAGGCTGAACCATAAACTGTCTATACCAGAGTTTGTTCTCACATTTGGGATTTTCAGTGATGTGCTATG